TCTATTTTTCTCCCATATGCTCTTTAATCAATCAATCAATCAATCAATCAATCAATCAATCAATCAACCTACCTACCTACCTACCTACCTACCTGAATGCCTTTTAATGTCTGGGCTAAAGCACATCCACTGAGAGGTTTAATTGGGATACTCACCAAGAGGAGGCCCATGGGTCATTAGTATGTCTATGCCTTCAGGAATAAGGTTCCACTTGTCCAACAAAGATTGACCTCTGGGTAGATTAAAGCCCCATCCATTAAACCATGGTGTCCTATGAAGGAAAGAAAATAAATTTGTGTCACTATGGAAGAATGATTTATTTCTTTGTTTTACAATTATGCAACAAGGCACATTTTCTGTAGCTAGCCCTCATTTAGAATGAAAGATATAGAAGAAAAACTTTGATACTGATATAGTTCTAAGCCATAATCATACTAATCCAACATGACTGCCAGTCTCCAAGGAGGGAAAAGATGGATGTTAAACATTTCTTTTATCACAGAGAATAGATTAATTTTTTTAAAAGCTATAATTAAATTGTAACAGTAAAGTTTACAAGATTGATTCTTACGAATATTTTTTCATAAGGCACTGATAAAATCTTACAGTAATTGGAAGTTTATGCCAAATTTATATTTGGTATTACAGTTCTGATTTGGTATTGTAATGGTAGGCAATAAAAGATATTTGACAAAGAAATGCAGAATATCCATAAGCGCCCACAACTCTGCAAACACAGAGTTGGGTTGCCCTGGGTTAATCTCTTGCTATAAATGTTTCTGCATGATAGAGAGAGGAAGTCTTTTTAATTGTAATTTCTTATCCTAGGGCAATGGATGAAATAATTTAATCTCCTGATATCATCAACCTGCTCTAAATCTAACCTTCCAACATAACAAATCGATCTGCCAAAGCACTGTTATATTTAATAATTCAGCCAGTCTCTTTTTGTAAGCAAGAATTCCATGTAGATTACTGAATGGGCTAAAAAAACAACAACAGGTAACTCACTGTGTCCTTTTACCACCCTGCTTCACTCCATGCTAACTGCAAAAGAAGGATGGTCATCTCTAGGACTATGGGAGACAACTAGCTTGGATGGTGAAGAGACAGATTATCTCTTCCATGAATGTACCTAATAGAAAGCATTCCTTAAAAAAGCTTGCCAAGCAGCCAAAACGAAAATACAACACAGAAGCTCAGATAACTGAACACTTTTGCAGATTAATATATTTTGTAAAATGCTAACTGCAAAAGAAGGATGGTCATCTCTAGGACTATGGGAGACAACTAGCTTGGATGGTGAAGAGACAGATTATCTCTTCCATGAATGTACCTAATAGAAAGCATTCCTTAAAACAGCTTGCCAAGCAGCCAAAACGAAAATACAACACAGAAGCTCAGATAACTGAACACTTTTGCAGATTAATATATTTTGTAAATATATTTGCAAGTGTATTAGAAGCTCCATTTCCCACTTCCTTGCATTTCTTTATTTTTACACTGACATAGGACCTGCAATTTACATATACATTTGACAGTATAGCAGAAAATTTCTTCAACTGTATTGGCAAATTAAGTAGCTGGACTGCTCAATTCACTTTAATAATTTTTAAAGTTCATACTGCAGATTGGTAGTTCATCTTTTCATCTGTCAAATCACTTTGTAGTGGCATAAATACAAAACAAGAATAGTATTTGTTACCTCTAATCAAGACATTTTATTTTTACTACAGACAAACATTGCTGGAGTTTTAGTAGAAACCTCAAGTAGCTATGTTGGTTATTAAAGCTGCACAAAATGTTGAAGGGGAGCGTCACTTACTGTTGAAGCTAATTTATTCTGTTTCAGCCTTGTCTATAGGCATCCTGAAGCATGTTTTGAAAAAAACAATGGTGAACCCTATGATTGCCAAAAACCCTATATGGACATGTCTATGAAATCATCAGGAGTTGAGCTCAACTGGAAAGAGGTTTTACTTTTTCTAGGAGCTATAAGTACTTGCTCTATTGCCCAGCTCAAGAAGAGTTTCTTATCTCTAGCTCTGATCTGAAAACAACACTGCAGAACCTCTTAACATGGTAAGATGCGCTACGGACTATTGATATGCAAAACATTCTGTGCATGATCTGGTGCAGAACCAAAATTGAGAAGGAACCAAAGCTGAGGACAATGTTATATGCAGACATCAGCAGAGAGGGAGGGGAGGGGGCTAGGAAGATCACAGGCCGGGTGGGCCAGTGGTATATGCAATGCTGGACTATTGGAGATAGTAGCTGGCTGGGGTGGGTGGGAGGGAATGAACCAGGAAAATCACCTCTGCAGAGGGTGGCACACAGCTCATGAGAGGATGAGGCAGGACAGGGTGACATGCAGTAGTCTTGATCTACTTGTTCTGCAAAATTACTCCAGGATTCACAACCTGGAACAACTAAAACGTTCTAAGTTTTGTTTCTGCCAAACTGCAGTCCATCTGAAATGGTTTGGAAGATCACCCAAATGAATGATAATTTGTTTCAGATTTTTTTTAAAAAAGCCTATTTTCTGTTTGTGCACCCCTGCTGAGCAAAAATAATAAAGCATCTTCTGCAACAATCTCATGAACAATTACAAAATACTGTATATGAAAACAACCCAAAGAACCCACAGATTAAAATAAGGCCATCTGGGGTTGCTCTTAATGATTATGTATCGTCACTAATTAAAGACATTTGCCTTATACCGTTCTCGTGTATTGCAAAGAAAAAGAAGCTTGTTAGAAAGTCAGCGTGGTATTTTTCTCCCAGAACAAAGGCAGTAAAACTGAGATTCTGGAACAGATTTAGATTTCAGTGAGAACAAAGAACAGGTCATCCTATTCTTCACATTGGTCCACAATTATTATACAGAATTGTAAAAATACATTAACAGCTGTTTGCTCCCAAACAATTTCAAATTCATAAAGAATTACTGTTAATTGCTAATGAAGTTTCGCTGGAATTACTTTCATCATAGTTTTACATTTGAAATGCACTATGAATTTTGATTTAATATTGCGAAGCATGGGTTGTGATCTGTGTGAAAATGGGAGAAAAATGTGCTTATGTTAAATAGGGATGCACTATCTCAATCTCTATGCAATGCCAGCAAGAAACTCTGGATAAAAGGAATTTGGAAATCTGGAATTTCTTGTATGTAGGGATAATGGATGTAATTTACAATATGAATCCTAACTGAAGAAACTAGTACAGATAAGGTTCTTGGTCCTGTTTACTGCAAGGAAATGGTTGTCCCAGTGTGTCGACCAATAATGTAAACAAACAAAATCAAGGGTTAAAGACAGGATGCATTAACACATAGGATTAATACAGCATAGTGCTAGCCAAGAATAAGAGAGATTTAATGCACCACAAACAACATGGATAAATGCTGCTGAAGTGCCACTGGCCCTCTCCTCAAAATCTGCAATGGCTGGATTGCTAGCACTTCTGGGTCAGACTCCCCATTCATTCTTTTTTAAAACACTGCAGGGATGAAAAACCAAGTAGAGTAGTAGAGATGCTACTACAAGAAGAGTTCCATTTTGCAGCTATTCTTGCACCCTACTCCAAGTTCTGAGTGGATTTTGCAGGGGGTCGACAACATCAAAATGGCAACTAGGCAACAGTAGCCCTGCCCCTTTTTACACACACGTGCAACACATATTAAAAAGGGATGGAGCGTTGATCACCCAGTTGCCTGGCATTTTGGTACCACTGACCACCACCACCATCAGATGCCCTTGCAATTGTGGTTAATTGTTGCTTAATCATTAACTGCTATTAGTTCAGGTTTGGATGACATAGGCTACCACACTCAGACCAGGAAAGACAAGTGGAGATCACGACTACAGCCATCTTAATACTCCTGACCTTATCCTCACTCTAGCCATGTAACAATGTTCAGATGAGGCTGAGCAAGGAAAGGTGGATACAGCATAATCTCTTGGGCTTCCTTTCTCTCTTTTTCCAGTGAGCACCTGATTTAAGCCAAGGTTCTAGCTACACCTCTAGGCAAGGGCAGGGAAACTCCTATTAGCTCAGGATAGCAACAAAGGTATACATCTCCGAACATACACATTTGCATTTCCCACTGAATGAGATATACAGTACTTGTTGCTTATGGAAAGCAGGCTTGAATTTTGTTTCTCACTTCCTTTTATATTTTTAAACGAACACAATGGCAAAAAGTGTTACACTACCAAAAAAATGTGGTAAAGGTCCCTGACTTGTATCACAGAAATGTAACTAGATGGAAGAATTTGACATTCCCATAGTAAATCTGCCTGCCTATGAATATACAGAGGCAACTCCCCTCCGTCCTCCAGGATATGTGTAATTCTTTTGTGCTCTAAGGCCTCTGACTAAGTTGCTATTATTTTTTCTACAGGCTAGTTTTCTATAAGACTATTTCCTTCTTCATTATACATACTACAATTGCAATTGTTGATTGATTACATCTGGGGAGAGGTATTTTTAAGCAACTAGAATAACCTTTCGTGCTACAATACATGAGAAAAGAGCTAAAAATAAGATCCACATTCTAAAATCTCTGGTTTAAGGTTAGAATATGATATCATTCCAGTTCCAGTTGTGCTTCAAAAAACCAGGAAATTGGCAAATTAGGTAGAGATCTAGTATTCCCTATCTCATTAGCTTTATTCACCACTGTATGCTGTGAAGGATTAGAAGTCAAGGGCGCTGCACTCACACTTTGGACTGATCTTTTGAGTCAACCTGGGGCTGGAGAAAAAGGTGTTCAGACTGACATTCAAGCTTCCCCAATCACTTGATAGAGAAGGCTTAATTGAATTTATGACTAATGTATCTATACAAGGCTTCCCCAAAACCATGATCCATCCACAGTTACTTCTAACAGATAGATCTGAGATGTTTCTGCATGATGAATGCTATTGTTATTGACAGTATCCCAAACACTTTCAGTAACCTTTATCAGTGTTTTATACTATGGCAGATTAGTTAGTTGGTTAGTTAGCTAGTTAGATATTTCTATTTATATGGCCACCCCTCTCACCAGAGCAGCTTTGACTGGCAAACAGAATTTAAGATTAAAATTAGATGCAAGTAAATCAACAATATACAGTAAGTAACTGTGAAAACACACCATTTATAATCCAAAGAAAAAGAAATGGTAGTCAAAAAACAAAACCCCCTCAAAATAATGACAAACCATCCTTACTTCACTAATTTCTTGATCCCCATGCCTGGGCAAACAGCCTGGCCTTAAGTGCC